GAATGGAAGACCTGGTGAGATGAACATCAAAAAGTCTCATATATACAGTACATTCGTTGTACTGAGTATATCTGTTACACTCATAGGCCAATCTTTTTATAAGATTGAAAACAATTTCATACGTTGAAATTGGATGTTACCTTCCCATTCCCTTAATCTGAAAAGATTAAATAAGTGGATTTGCAAAGATCTACTTACAATTTCATGATTTGACGGCTTACTCGGAAAATTTCATTCATCTTTTGTATGATGGAATGATTCTCATTTCATCATAAGGGTGAGTATATGTAATAATGAATGAAATATTCATTTCCGAACTTTTTAAAGGGAATTTGATGCAAAGATCAAGGGGGAGTAACTTTGAAAGTGGCAAAAGACTCAAAAGAAGAAGTGCGACTGAAGATGATTAAAGAATGATTATTTGTGTGCTTCAACGACTGAGAGATATTGAATGTGAAGATCATTTTCACAATAGTTTACTGAAGAAGTGTTTTCTGAAGATTCTTTGAAGATCAAATCTTGTACAGTATTTTTGAAGATCATTTTTGAATTTGTTCTACATTGTCAAAAGAGAAGATCACCGAGATTCTACATTCGAGGGGGAGAATGCTAGAAGATCTATCTCAACAGTTGATCGATTGAAGATTATAAGTTGAAGATTCTTTTGAACAAGAAATTTTTGTGCATAATGTTTCAAAGTTCAAACAAGTGCTCAAAGCGCAAAATTTTCTTTCAAGTCTGAATACAAAGGGGGAGAATGTTAGGACTGAGAAATCAATATTAATTGTATTCGTCTTGAAAGTTTATAAATAGTCTATAATTGTAAAAAGTCAGCGTGTTTGACTTTTCTTATAGGTTTGACTTTGACTTTGATTAGATAGTTTGACCATATAAATAGTGCTAATCTTTGTAATTAGTAGTAGAGGAGCTCAATTGTAAGATTACGTACATATTAAGAGAGTTGACCAAAGCTTAGAAGATTGACTTTTTCTCTCTAAATGTTCTTCATGTTCTTACAAATTTTATCTGAGATTTTGCCATTGTTGAAGATATGATGAAGATTGATCAGTGAAATCGGACACACAAATAGACAATCTAATTATCCTTCAAATGGATGAAGACAACCTTCTTGAATGGTGATCTTCATGAGGAAGTTTACATGAAACATCTAGAAGGTTTCGTTATGCCCGCAAATGAGCATAAAGTATGTGAACTAGCAAAATCATTGTACGGGCTGAAACAAGCGCCTAAACAATGACATCAAAAGTTTGATGAAGCTATTTGTCATGTGGTTTCACCTTAAACCAATGTGACAAATGTGTTTATAGAAAATTTGATGCTAAAGGTGCTGGAGTGATCATCTGCTTGTATGTGGATGACATGCTGACTTATGGAACTGATCAAAATCAGGCTGATGAAACTAAGAAATTGTTGTCATCTAAATTTTTCCATGAAAGACATTGAAGAGGCTGATGTAATATCTTGGTATAAAAATTAAATGAGATAACAAAGGGTTGTGATGGCATAGTCATATTATATTGAGAAAATTCTCAAGAAGTTCAATTATAGCGATTGTTCTCCCATAAGCACTCCTACGGATCCTAGTGTGAAATTAATGCCAAATATAGGCATGTGTATTTCACAACTAGAAGGCCATTGATAGCTTGATGTATGCCATGACGAGCACTAGGCCTGACATAGCCTATGTTGTGGGACGGTTGAGTCGGTACACTAGTAAACCTAGTACTCAACATTGGCAAGTGATTTAAAGAGTATTTAAATACCTTAAAGGCACCATGAATTATGGTTTGAGTTACTTGGGATATCCTTCGGTTTTAGAGGGTTATTTGAATGCAAGTTGGATATCCAACATGGATGACCACTCCTTGACTAGTGGCTGGGTATCTTTGCTTGGAGGAGGTGCCATCTCTTAGGCATCTAAGAAGCAAACTTGTATCATGAACTCAATAATGGAATCTAAGTTTGTGGTATTACTGCTGCCGATAAAGAGGCAAAATAGCTAAAGAATTTGATTTGTGAGATTCCATTGTGGTCAAAGCCGATTGTACATATTTCTATGCATTGCGATAGTGTGGCCATGTTAGTGAAAACTTATAGCCAAGTTTTTATTGGCAAGTCTAGACACCTGGGTGTTAGACACAACATGATTAGAGAATTGATCATGAATGGGGTAATCTCCGTTGAGTTTGTTAGAACGTAATAAAATTTAGCAGATCATTTAACTAAAGGTCTGACAAGAGACTTAGTGTACAAGTCTGCAATTGGGATGGGATTAAAGTCCTTTTAAATGTATAATGGTGAGACACCCAATTCCTTTCTAATATGACTTTAGAAGTTGAATTCAATGTGGAAAGCTCACACTTATAAATTGGAACACAAGATTGAATCATCCCGGGTTTGTATTCGGTACTGCAGTGGGAAGGTTGAAGTTTATCTTCTTAATAATTCCTTTGATAAAGTGTATGTGTAGGTACACAAAGTAAATAACACGTAAAAGTCAATAAAAGCAATTAACACAACAACCTCCATACAGATTTTTAAGAAAATTAAAATTGAAACCATTTTATAAAAATAAAAAAAATATAAAGCTTCCATAATTATCTATGAAATATTTAAGGATATTAAAATTGAAACCGTTTTATAAAAAAAAAAACTAAAGATACAAAAATACCCTTGCTACCTTTTTAAATAGTATAATTAAACCAAATTGATTGTTGAAATCTGATTGGACAACGGAGGTCAACAAAGTTAACATCATTTTCTTGGTTAATAAAAGACTGCTGTCTATATTTATATAGAAGTTAAATCATGTGAGAACCAAAAGGGTTGAAGACCGTAAGGACCAATCTCAATCATCCAAGGGTTTTAATCAAAGGCCATTAAACATTGTGATAATTTTTGTAATATTACTGAAAATATTGGAAGTTTAAGGGCAAATACGTAAAACCGGTGTGTATCCATCTCCGTCTAGGTCAAACATGTTGAACGCCTCCGTCAGATGGGCATGCCACTGCCTGCTACTATCATAACTCGCAACCTCATGTTGATTTTTATCTCCAACCTGTTGGTTTACGAGATTGTCTAGGTGAAAGAACATATTGTTCACCCCCGCCCTCCGCCTCCACCTCCAACAATAGGTTTTCTCCGTCTCTTGAAAATTTCAGACCGTTTCCCTCTCTTCAATGTCAAACTCCGACAATTGGTTCAATCTACGTTCAATCTCAATATATCCATAATGATTACGAATGTCATCTCAAAGTTCCAATTAATCGATTGGATCTTTCATCTTCTATCTTATATATGTAGTTTGTTTCAGAAAGTTACATTTGACTTTGATTTCTTAATTCCTTCAATAATGTCGAAATTGGTCGATAGTAGATTTGGAAAACCATATTTGGAGGTCGATTTGAAAGAAACAGAGTGTGTGGAGGAGGTAAAGGTACAGTATAGAGGAGTACGACGATGACCCTAGGGCGAGATCCGAATCGTAATGGTGTTAGGGTTTGGTTGGGATTGGAGCTGCAAATGCTTATGATAGGGTGACATTTGAAATGCTTGGAAGCAATGTGATTCTCAGTTTCCCTCTAAAGACCGAGAATTCAACCAAAAGTGAAAATGTTAACGTTTCCACTGCTGCAGGAGAAGAACCATAGATGTGTTTGATTTCATGAGGTGAATACATATAGAAAGGAATAGTGTTTGATTTCATAAAAGTGAAATAGATTGTAGATGAAAATTGTGTTTGATTTCATATGGTGAAATAACCTATATATATGAACATTATGTTTGGATTTCTTGAGGTGAAATAGCACATTTATGAAACTGTGTTTTATTTTATGAGGCTCGATTGAGATGGAAATTTAGGCGTGGATCGATCGGGAGTTTATTGAGGTTTTAATCGATTTGATGGAGCAGTTTCAGGAACGAATAGCTAGAGGATTTGATCGAGAACTACAAGATGCGATTCTTAGATTGAAGGTTTTTATTGAGCCCCTTCTTCTCTACATATTGTGTTGGTTTTTTGTTATGAATGTTCTTTTTGGTCATTTTACATGTATAAACAAAAAATTTCAAACACTAAAAAACAACTTATCAACTTATTACATTTTGGTAGCGCCAAAAGCTAATCCAAACACTTTTACAAATCTTGGGCTTGCTACCACATAAGTTGGTAAGCACTTTTATAAAAAAACCATAAGTTGTTTTAAATAAGCAATCCCAAACACCCCCTTAGTTTGAATATAATTCATTACTGTCCCGTCACTATTATATTCGATCAAGCAAATCTTAAAAAATTATGGGTTTTTAATGTTTCTTATTGATTACTCAAAATTTATTCTAGCATATTCCCTAAAACATACTACAAACAATTATAAATTTAATCAAAATAAACAAGTCATGAATATATTAGAAATTTTAACGTACTACAGATACTTAATAACAACAATTTAACAATAAGATTATACATGATTTCTTTGAAAACTCAATGTCGAGCCACAATTTCTTTGCTCTAAGCTTTATCTTCAGAACAGGCAACACCATTTCTGCATAATTGCAATATCAAATACGAGCATTATGTAAATACCTCTTTAGAATAAAAGTTTTTAGGTACTTTTTACATATTTAAATAATTGTATGGTATAATGGTTTGTATTTTGTGCAATAAAAGATATAGAGTAATCTAGGGATGCTCAAAGACCTGACCAATCCAACCCAACGTGAGATAGTCCGACCCGAAGTACCCAATATCTAATCGAGTTGTAAAATCTTTAAAACGTAAGTATTGGATTGGAATCAGGTTACAGTCATTTAAACTCAATCCAACCTGATGACCCGTACCCTTTTTATTTATTGAATTTAATATGATTGTTAAGTCCCTTTAATATCTACATTAGACAATTAAAAAAATCACCTACCCTCTTCATATACATATATTTTCAATATTTTTTACATCTATATATAACACTTTCGTATAGACGAAGGATCGTGTGAGAAGAGAAGTTCTAGTGAGAAGCATAAGAAGAAATTTGAAGTCTTAATCACTTTTATTCTCATTTTCGCCCATGAATTGTGAATTAGAAGAGAAATGATATGGTGCATCTTAGTGTATTTCATTAGTGTTGACATTCGATTAGGATTGATTCGAGATCTCTTCTTACACTTCTCACCATAACTTTTATTCTCACCGTAACCTAACCCCCTTCGTATATATGTTCAGTAAATGTGAAGATATATATGCAAATTGAGAAAAGTAGTTGAATGTGATATACTTAAGATTTAAGGAGTATGGATAAACTGTACAAATGATTGAAGATAAAAAGAAATTATGAGTAGAGAAAACAACATATAAAAGGTTATGAGAATATTTTGATGTATCAACCAACCCGTACGATTTGATTTGGGTTGAGTTAAGATTTTTCAAACCGTAAACATTGAAATAAGTTATTCAAATGTTTTCTAACCGGTCAACTCAACCTAAGAGTACCCCTAGAATAAACTACGAATTTTGTTCTTGTGGTTTGTTAAAAATTACGAATTTCGTCCAAAGGACTTTTAAAGTGTTATGATTTTCGTTCATATGATTTGCAATTCATTATCGTTTTCATCCCTGAGACTAATTTCATCACTACTTTACCATTAAGTATGAAGGACAAAAATAATAATGAATTGCAAACTACTTGATTAAAAATAAAAAAATAAAAAATAATTGTAAGCCACAAGAATAAAAACAACAATAAATTATAAACCACAAAACAAAAACTGTAATTTAAAAAACACAAACAAAAAAAAAAGTTTTCAACAAACCACATGATCAAAAAACATAGTTTGCTCAAAGATATAAACATTGTTTGGCAAACATAAGTTATCTTGTAAGTTAGTTTATTTTTTGATTAATCATTGGGATGCACATAAGCTGACTTATAAGTTAATTTATTGATAATCTACTTGTAGTAGCTTATGAGAAGCTTTTTGACACTTTTTTCAATTACAACCCTGATTAATATTAATTATTAACTATTGTTAGTGGTAGTAATTATAAATAAATATTAACTATTAATTATTTATAAATATTAATTTATTGTAATTAAGATT